GGAAATATAGAGGGGCCACAAAAAATTTTTGACCAGTGAAGGAGGGGGGGGGCAGAAAATATTTTGAACATAAAGGGGGGGGGGCAAAAAATAAAATCTGTGGAATAGTTTGTAACATGTAATATGATAATATCAAAAGAGTATTAAATAATGGATATATACAGTATACATACATACATGGAACAGTAATGCCCAACATATTGAACCTAAAAGTTGTGTTCTAGCTACTGTATATGGAAATTGTCATCCTCATCATCATCGTAGACAAATGTATATACGTATACACAAATGTATTTTTTTCAATTAGTAAAAGTAGGCCTGATGTGTAGGTTTTTTGTTTGAGGGCCAACAACTTTTCAGGTATAAAGTGAAGTCTGAATTATCTATTGTGTCTATTGTGAAACTAAAGTCACTCCTGTCCACCGTGGCTATCATTTTCAATATTGACAATATTCTTTACAGCTGCAAGTAAACAGAGTATGAGGGCAGGAAAAATGGTTATGAAACTGACTTAGAGTCATTGAATTCAGAATTTGGGGGGGGGGGCTATGAAATATGTTGCCTCATTAAGGGGGGGCATAAAATGATTTTGTTAGAAAAATAAGGGGTCATGAAAAATTTTTGCTATTCATAAAAATTTCCTCCGGCCCCCTACCCGGCATTAATAATGACTTGTCCCTTATTCGGCTGAGCCCTTAGCTAGCGATTCGGAGGATGAGAAAAGGATTAAGAGGGCGATAAAAGAGAGCAAGTCATTGCGGAATGAGAAAAAGGCGAGTAGTTCGCATGTAAAAATTAAGAGGCCTTTTCTCGGAGCAGACAAGTCAACTCCCAATGTTGTCAAAGGGCAGGGCCCCTTCAACTTTAGAGCACCGCCACGTAGGCAAGTTTTGCCCCCCTCAGGGGACAACCGAACAACATGTTTCCGATGTGGGAAGCCAGGACACTTTGCTAGAGAGTGCCGCTCAGCCAATGCCCGGTTTGTTATCTCGGGCGCTACAACGACCAACCAAAATATTTCCTCAAACTGAGGCAAATTCCTTGTCAGAGGCAGAACTGTTTCATGAACATGGTATAATAGTTGATAATTTACGAGAGCACTCATCGGTTATTGTTAAAGGAAGATTACGGTCGAACCTGACTTTTTGGGAAAACATTGGGGCTAGCAGTTGGGTTCTTGATACTATTCGTAATGGATATTGTTTGCCCTTTCTTGAGCAACCCGAGAAAAAAATTTCAAATAATCATTCATCCGCTACTAACAATGCGGATTTTGTAACAAAGGAACTTCAAAAACTTGTTTCAACAGGGGCTGTAGTGGAAGTACTGAAGCCTGATCTGACTGTGTGCAACCCCCAAAGAATGGCTATGGACTTCCTAGCGTACATTCTGTTGTGAAACAAGTGACTGACGCAGCTAGGCGAATTCTAGCGAAAACCAAATCGAGAAAAAAGCCTTTATCTAGCACACAAGTTAAATCAATTGTGCAAGGTTGGAGAAAGGATCCCTTGCTGATCTCCAGGTAGGGATCGGAAGGAATTGGGATTCTATGGCTTCCTTCGCTGGGATGATCTCAGTCGTATTACCCCTGAGCATCTCGAGTTTGCACCAACCCATCTACTTGTTCACCTGGAGAAGAGAAAGAATGACCAGTTCCGGAAAGGAACGCAAGTCCTGATTGCAAGAGCGGACAGAGCACCATGCCCGGTAGCTGTGGTTGAAAAATTTCTGGGGAAGGGACGTCATAAGCCAGGAATCTCCATTTGGAGACGTATCCAGAGTACCAAATATGGTCAGGTACTTCGGAGTACGCCTATGACATACAGCCGTGCTAGCGAGTTGTTCAAGAAAGAATTGGTGAAGGAAGGTCTTGATGCTAAAGATTATGGTCTTCACAGTTTACGATCTGGTGGCGCTACAACTGCAGCTGCTCTGGGTATTCCAGACCGCCTGCTACAGAGGCAAGGAGGGTGGCGTACTGCGAAGGCAAAGAACAATTACATTGTTGAGTAAAAAAACTCGTTACTTCATGTTACAAAAACAATGCAGAAGGCGTAAATTGTATAAAATAACTCTATGCGTTGTGTGGTTGCGGCTGACGCTGCAGCAGCTCCCAGCGGTGTGTGAGCAGTGTTATTTTCCGCTGGCTGAGGCACAAAAGAAGCGGAAAATGTTTTCTCACACACTGCTGGGGGCACAGGGTGGTGCAGGTTATATGAGCATATTTTTGTTGTTGCTCACCGTAGCTTGACAGTATCCCGCCCACCCAGCCCTTTTATGTTTATTAGTACAGAACGGCGTTGGATTGGATATATATGTACCTGTTAGGGTAATTATTAAGCGAGCATTTGTAATGTATGGTAGTTTAAATTAATAAATGTCAAGCTTGCGGCTGACGCTGCAGCAGCTCCCAGCGGTGTGTGAGAAAGATAGTTGGTTAGCGTCTCCGCCCGCCCACAAAAAAGGCCCCGCTCAGGATTTTTTTTTATTTTTTATTTTAAAAAAAAAACCAACTTTTATTGATCAACGGGCTCTAATATATGTAGTATTTCTGTTGACTGTACTGCAATTGTGTTAATAATTTGCGAAATTGCGTGCGAAAATGACGGTATGAATCATGATATTTGTGGTGTTACTCTGGGATCCCACCGTGGCCGGGCTATATTTTTCAAGCTCGCCCGGTGTGGATATACACTCAGAGTAACACATAAGTTGGCCTTACAATGTATGTGACTGCCCTGCACTGTAGTCGGAATAAGAACAGTCTGCGACTGGTTGATTATAACAATGAAACACAAAATACTCTATAGACTAGTATACTAACACTGATCTACGATAGACAATTAAAAAAGTTCGTGTAATATTTCAAATCCGATATCCAGTATTATCATGCATGTGCATAAAATAAAGCATTATGGATTGTTAGCTTTGTGTTTACTGTATTTGGCTGCCTTTTAGTTACAGGATACGACTTGGCGAAATTAGAATCCACAAATTTGTCAGAAAGCCCCCAAAAGGCTACATAAACCGATAAATTCACGTAAAACAGTATAATTAATGTATAGAATTTCTAATATTTCTTGTCTCTAATTTCTGAACGCCCCCGTATCTAGTCCCGGTTAATTAAACCGGAATTTGTAATAGCCGTCCCTCACTTGTAAACGCCTATTATCTAATAAACGTTCTTACTCTACGTGGAAGTTTACCAGATTTAATAAAAAAAAACTGGTGGCGAAACCAGGACGCCGCGTGTGGATTTATAGCGCCCTGGCAAAATCTATACTTCCCTAAACCGCTAATTGCGTTCTCTTTCTCTCTGATAGTACATCTTGTAACTGCGAAACGTAACAAGGGGACAAAATGGGTGAAGAAATACTGGTGCTTTTTGGAAAGCATGATGGCAGTATTGCATCTCTCAAAGAAACCGATGAAAAAAATATGGCAGAACTTATTGGCCTCAAACATACGCCCATTCAGATTCAGCCAAATGATTTCGTCCGAAATTGTGAACCGGCAACAATACAGTACAGTCAGCAATTTCTCAACAAACCAGCAACCGTAAAGCACCTTTACTACGTTGGGCATGGTAACGCAAATGGGCTACTCGAACTTGATGATGGGATGTTTGATCTAGGAAACATCTTCCCTGGAACAAAACCACACAAGCAAAAGCTTCACTTGCATTTGTTTATGTGCTATCAGCACGAAGCTTTTGAATCCGTCAGAAAACGTCTAAATGGTGATAATCATCTTGACAGACAGCTGTTTTCTGAGGTTAAGTTGGCCAAGGCACGTCCATTAACACAGCGTTTGGGAGACCGAATAAATGAATTGATTATATCACGCCAGCTCAATAAATCCGTTGAAAAAGTACTGGACGAATTAACAAGAGGAGATGAAAAAAAAGGGCACTATAACTTGTATTATGAGCTCGAGAATGAAAGACGTATACAGGATGAGGAAAAAGGTCAGCGTTATTAACCATGTCAATGTCTATTCACTCTTATACATTTTTTTGTTGTTTTATTGTCGGAAATTGCCTTAATTAAAGGGAACGAAAGATATTGGTACAAAAGATATTACACTTCTTTTCAAACAGAACATTATGCATTCCGCCATCTTGGATATATGTATATCCATCGCAGTGCTCCACATATATCCAGAGCAAGAACTTAGTTATGAGAAAAGTGAAGCCAAGATGGCGGCCATTGACGTCAAACACTCTGAAGGTCGTAAACAGCTTTTATAATCCAGCCCTAATCATGCAGGCCTTTATCGTGTAAGACAAAATCCTTGCTTTTTTGTAGGTAGATGTCAAATTGTTTAAAGAGGCTAAAGCTAATCAGGAATAAAAAAGAAACGTCTGGTATTAAATGGCGATCTCGAACGCAGCAAGGAAAAACAGTTGAAACAACACAAACAGGTTACTTTATTTGACACTGTAGTTTAGTTATATTTATTTACAAAATGTATGCTAACTGCCAAATGTATATTTGTACGAGTTGATAGATTTGCATGGTGAGATGTAGGATGTAAAATATATCATTTCAGGGGTCGGTTGTTCAAAGCTTGGTTAGTTTTACCCTAAGTTAACCTAAAATTCAAAGCAAACTTCCCGATAGCTTTGACATAAATTTGGAGATATTTCTTCAGAGATCTTGTCTAGATCGATAGAAGTTTACTTCTCTGAAGTTTTGAAATAAACAAACGTGCAGAAATACACAAACTAAAACAGCAGGTTAAATTTTAACCCAGGATTAGCGCTAACCCACCTTTGAACAACCGGCCCCAGGGTGTTAGCCAAAAAAAGTTTTGTCCGTTAAACGTAAATTGGGAAAGTTTTTTTGACCGATCAAAGTCCTTGTGTAGGAATAAATGGTGTTTTTTTTCCCAACGTGTTTCCCCTTAAATGCAAACAGCAGTAGCTTGGTTTTGTACATTTCATTTCCGGTAAATGACACTGAAAAATGCACCCGATTTGTATATTACATTTCCGGTGATGCACATCGATTACACTTTGTTTTGTACATTTCATTTCAGTGAATACACACCCAATATGAATGAAACACGATACATTTTGATATAATGTTCTTCTTAATCTTCTTCTTTTCTTTGATCATTTTGTATTACAAACTGGAAATTGTAATACAAAATTACTGAAAAACGGCAAACTTCGCAGGGCTATATTATCCGCATTTTACAACATTTCGTAACGAAACTTTGGAATATTACTAATTTTGTGATGCTCTTTCAAGCTGTGATGAAATTTTTGTCTACATCAAAATTTTAGTTATAAAGTTAAAGGTCTATTGCATGAGGTTGGCAATTTTTTGCCGTTTTTACATGCCGATAGGTCAGTTGGAATTCCACGAGGTCTGTTGAGCAATTTTTAAATAATACATTATTCATTTGACGTGAAGATTGGGGAAGATAAGAGATAAATGGTTAAAAATTAAAATATCCGTACAATGTAATTGAAGCTTAAATTCCATATTCGCATTAGATGTTCCCATTTAAATCGTTGCACTATTTTTTCTAAACAACAAACCTTCACAACATGCGCCAGTTGTCACAAGATGGTTTCCGGTTGTGGTCTTCCATCTAGTTCCAGTTCCCCAACATCAACTTCTTTCTCGGCCTGTTTGTTCTTGTTGAATTCCCACTGAATTTTCTCGTAATGCTTTAATTCTACATCTGATACTGAAGGAACCAGGTTTTCGATAGCTAACTCGAAGTCTTGCTGTGTTAGTTCAGCCTTTGTAGCAGCTACGAAACAAAATGTAGGATAATTGTAAAGTTTCCTCCACTTTCCTTCGAAAAATAAACTGAAATTATTACTCAAATCAAATCACGCGTGCACACCTGAATCCTGGTCAAGTATTTGTCGTCTGATGGCGTTCAGCAATGCGTTCGAGCACAAGGCGTAGAAGTCAGCTCCGGTCAGGTTTTCAGGACACATATCAATTATATCGCCCAAATTTATTTCTTCTGGGAGATCGAATCTAGAGTTTCAGAAATAATTTCATTCAACCTTCACAACATTCTCGAAATCAGAAAACATAGATCGGAAGAGCATTGATTGCAATCTAAATACTAAAATATCTATGGATAACTCTGACTGTCCAGTTGGAGTAATGTTTGTCTGTCTGTCTGTCTGTCTGTCTGTCTGTCTGTCTGTCTGTCTGTCTGTCTGTCTGTGTCTGTCTGTCTGTAACTTACTTTCGAGTCAAAGCTTTCATGATTTTCATTCGGTCTTCTTTCTCCTTGCTGATGCCAAGATATAAAAGTTTGTCAAATCTGCCAGGTCGGAGGAGAGCTGGGTCGAGCAAGTCGGGCCTGTTTGTCGCCCCAATCACGAACACATCACGTGACCTCTTCAATCCATCCAGCTCAGCGAGAAGTTGAGAAACAACTCTATGTTTTACGAAAATAATTTAACACAAGTCAGTACATAGCAATGAATAAATTCTACATTTCATTGCAAAGTATCGAATTTTACGTCATTTTGTGATTATCTGTTACATACAATAAATACTGTATTGCAATACACCCTTCCAGAAAGTACGTCACCTTGGGTATAGAGCCTCGTTTTCGTGATTGAGACGTTGGGCTTTAACTGATGTCACACACACGAAAACGAGGCTCTATAGCCAAAGTGACGTACTTTCTGGAAGGGTGTACTTACTTTGTACTATACTATACTGTACTGTATTAAAATTTACTCTATAATGTAGTGTTCATTGCACCGTAATGTAATGGAATGGAATGTAGTGTACTACTGATTTGGATTGTTTTGTATTAAATGAAAACTCTCTACTTGATATAAACGAACGGACAAATTGAAAAGTGAAATGCTAGTTGGGATCCATACCTATCCATCACTCCTCCAGAGTCGCCACTTCGTCCACGATTTGGAGCAAGTGAGTCAAGTTCATCAAAGAAAATTACACATGGCGCCGCTCTTGAAGCTGTCGCAAATATCTCGCGGACATTTTCTTCGCTTTGTCCAACGTACATGTTAATGAGTTCTGGCCCTTTTACACTACCAATTAACATACAAAATTAATGAAAAGAAATGAGTGATGATTCCTTAATGGTACTTTGTTGCATAAGCTCTTCAAATACAAGAAAACATGCAAGTCAATATGTTTATACATATTGACTTGCATGTTTTCTTGTATAAGGTTTACCACCCAAACAAATCAAAAGTTGAACAATCAAAGTATTATAATTTCATGGGGGAAAATGAACATGTTAAAAATAGTCCAATTTGCTATGCTATAGACAAATATAATAAATCATTGGATTTGTACTTCTAACTAATAACAATAATAATAAAAAAATTCACCTGAGAAAATTGAGCGAACATTCTGTGGCGACGGCTTTTGCTACCAACGTCTTTCCTGTACCCGGTGGTCCGTATAACAGAATTCCTAGAAATGAGGTTAACCTTAAAGCCCTGGTCAAATAAGGATGAGAGTTGATGAGGGGTTGCAACTCTCGCTCGCGTTCGACCGCAAACTCTCATCGACTCTCGTGCAATCTCATCAACTCTGATCAACTTTGAGCTACAACTCTGATCAACAGCGCTCGCGGTAATACCAGTCACCTTTCATGCAACTCTGTTCTCGTTTGACCAGGGCATGAGAGATGAGAAAAAACGTTCGCTCCTCAACTCTTATCAACTCTCATTCTCGTTTGACCAAGGCTTCAGATATTCCTAAAGCGTATTATTGCTTACCTGACCGTTGCAGCCCAGCGGCAAATAATTCCGGATATTGAAATGGCAGTTGAATGGTATCCATAATCTCTTGTTTCACATCGCTGAGACCGCCAATATCTTTCCAACACACATTCGGGATCTTTGGAGCTCCGATACTGTCTGCATGAGCTGCTTGTAGCACTTGGATTGCTTTGTCAAAGTGATTTTGATCAAGTAAAATACCTAAATAGAACAGATTGTTCCAAAAGATTGATCACAGTTATAACTCTTGCTCGGCTTTGACCAACAACTCTCATCAACTCTCATCAATTTTGAGCTGGTTAGGGTTAGGGTTAGGGTATATTTAGGTTAGGGTTATGAGACTGGGTGAGAGTTTTTGCTGCGCGCGGTCACAGAATAAAGACTTACAGAAGTCTGAGTTCGTGTCGGCTCCTTTGGGGTTATGTAGATGGAAATTCCGAGTGGATTTTAATACATTTATTAGATTTAGCCAAGAGCAGTTGCGAAAAATGCAACTATCGGCCCTCTGCCAGGAATCGAACCTGCGACCCTGTGATTCTGGTGCAGTGCTCCAACCAACTTTACTGAGCTACAGAGAGACAGTTCAGTATCGAGCTCTAAAGCTCACCTTTGAGGTTAGCAGGACTGGCCACCATGTTCCTAGCTAGCGAGTTAAGGAGAGGCCATCAGCCTCCTGAAAGCATTCAAAATGGCTGAGGGAAACATTTGCAGTCGAGGGTCCACCAAACAAACTGTTTCCCAAGAGTCCCAGTCAAGTATTTTATCAGTGGTGGATTTACGGGGGTCAAAAATGACGTTTATCCTAATTCTAACCAACTTATGTTAAGGAATTCAGTTGCGTATCACTAGTTGACAATAGCGGAATAGCCAATATTAAATATTCTGAATTTTTAAATGTTTTGAGAATCTAAAAATTTTCCAGAATGTTTTCTCAGAATGCTGGAAATGTCATTTCAGAGACCCAAATTTTAAAAATTTTCCAGGGGAGTATGCCCCTGGACCACCCTCGCCATTGGTTAGCACCCCCCCAAAAAAACTTTGCTGGATCCACCACTGTATTTTATTACTTGCGAAAGTGTTTTAAAAAAGCAATTTTATAAGAACCGGTCCACCCTACTCTTGGCGTATAATATCAAAATATATGTGTTAGTTCGAACAAACCAGCACTACAAACATCCTTCTGCAACTCTATCAGCTTCTGGTGATAATCCCAGTTTTGAAGATTTTCTTCATGAGGGACCAACTGCATGCCCTTGAGGTACTCCATGATATCATCTTTTGCTTGCAGAACTGCTTCGGAGAACATCGTACAAAAATCGGCGAGAACCATTCCTGCAGTACGACTGGCCAGCGCCTTGAAGGACACTCCGGGACCGACGAGGAACGCTGTGGAATTCCAGACAAAAATTTGAAAAACATAAAATAAAACAAATTTTGAAACAAATATATCTAAAATCAGCAGAATAAAACCTTACTTGTACTAATACAGACACCTCTTTAATATGGACACCATATCTCTCTAATTAGCGGCTCCATTCAATTTGAAAAAAAATATGTTTATTTTCCTCCATACCTGAGGATAAGGCTTGTAACATTTCCACCCTTTGACCCTCGGCTGGAGCCTCAATTTCAAATTCGTCCAAGAAACACGAGCGAAGATCTGACGTCATGCTTTGAATGTTGGAAGTGGTTCCCAGGACTAGAACAGGATATTGCGAGACTCTCTGGATTTGCTGAAGGTTTATCATGAGGGTGGTTATAATGCGAGGTTCCTTGTCATGGTTGTCTTTATTTTTGCCCAAACAGTGAATGTTTGATAGAAGTAGAATACAGGGTGCACATGAAAATGCTGAAACATAATTTTAACCATTCAGTGTCAGCACATTCCCTTTGACAAGTAAAATCATCTGGCGTTTGACAGAGTAAAATAACAAAGTAGGGCGCATTAGAACAGAATGTCACTTACTTTCATGTCATGTACTTTCTACATATGAAAAAATGTTCAAAACCTAATAAATGTTTGATGAACCAACCCTAACGCTTACCCGACTGGTCCTGCTTATATTTTTCAGGTACGGAAGTTGCATATCTGTCACACCACAGCTTTCTACTGCAACTTTCTACTGTACTCCAGCATTCACTCTCATTATATAAAAAAGCTTGACTAGTGTTGTATAGACAAAGTTATAATTCCTTTCTTAAATATACCTTTGTGAAAGCTGTTTCTCATTCTTGCCTCAGTTGAGGCAGTAGTGTCACCAACTATCTCATAACAGTTCACCTCGACTACATGTAGATTTAGTCTACGACTTGTTGCCATAACAACAGTCTTCTTTCCCACTCCAGCAGGACCACTGAGAAGTATTGGAAACACATCACTTGATGAACTATATAGTAAACATTTAAATTAAGAGACTATAAAATTGAAATCGTTTGGCATAAGATAGAGTAAAATAATAAAGTAGGGCACAATGCTACTAATGGGTAAATATCTAAGTCTTTCCCCTTGAAGTATAAAATTCACAGACATAAGATAAAATTCACAGACATACGGATGTATTATAGAGATTTCTTTACAAAATCCTGAATATTATATGTCACAACGAGCGAAGTGCCAAAAAAAAATTGCTTACGATTTACCCTCAAACTTTCACGGCATTACCCGCATCACCTGTATTTGTACAGTACATGAGCTTTATGCCTGCTCTTGACAACTACCTCCGTTGCTCAGAGTAGTGCACCGGCATCACACAGGCGTAGGTTCAATACCTGTCGGAGGACCTGTTGAATTTTTCTCAACTGTTCCCGGTTAGGTCTTAAAGAAATGTATATAATTTCCGTTCAATATTTCTAACTACCAAATCCTAAATCGCATTATAGAGAATGGTTGAAGTCTCCTTGACTGCTTGACAAGTAAAATTGCGCCTGGAGTTATGTTGACACTGTCAACTGTAGGGTGGACTGGTTAGTAGCATGTTGCCAGTTAGCCGCTGGTAATTGCAAACCTCCACTATGGGGATGATGAACATTATACCCCACTCCCAATACCCAGTTTGATTGCACCAATTAAAGAAATTTTGACTGCTGTGATTGTATATCAAGGGAGGTGTCATAATATGTTTTTACCTGGTATAAAGTAATGATCTGAGGGCAGTTTCCAACTTGGAAACATGGCCATCAAGCCCTCCTGGATGTGTGGTGAGCCAATATGAGGATCTCGGTTGTTTTATTTTGGCACAATTCTGTACAAATAGCTCAGCAGAGGATGGAACATAGCTTTGTAACACTTCATCCTAAAACAGGTATTCAATAAACTGTCTTCAAATAAAAATTCCATTGGGACAAGTAGATGACTTTAACCCTAATGAGTAAAAGCACTCTCCCCTTGACAAGTGAAATCATCTGGCATTAGACTGAGTAAAATAACAAAATCAAGCACGTCACTGCACAATGCAGCTTAATGAGTTAACTGACAGCTCCTACTGTTTGCTACTGTATGTTGTAGTATTGACAGAATACTAAACCAATATAGATCAAAGTCAAAATACTGACAATATCAGTACCGGTATATCAGGACTTTTTTACACCAGAAAGTCACCAAATTTAAAGCAAACTAACAAGAACCTATGTAGACTGAACATTTCAAAACAGTAAAAGCAGCTCAAATGTCAAATTTACATATGCATTCGGCATATGAATGAAACTCATACCAATTTTGCACAGAAATAAGGAATTTGATCTACTTTTAATAAAGTTGTGCAGGTAAAAGGTAGTAAACAAAGTTATACATTTATTTAGGTAAATATACCATATTTCTATAGATGGACTTGACACTTGTAAACATCTTTGAGGGTCTCCTGGGTGGGGGGGGGGTCCTGTTTTCCATTGAAAATTTTCTTCCTGTGTTCCCCACAAAGATTTCACCATGTTCCCCAGCTTACAAGAGGGTGTTGATGGGTTATATTGTGAGTCGTGATTGCTCAATTTTGGTTACCGTCAGTCATGAAAACACTAAAAATTTTACCCAATTTTTATCGTTTATTGATTTTCAGACCTCCCATCTAGACCCTCTTACATGTTCCCTTTGTTCCTGTGTTCCCATTGCAAAACATGCCTTGTTCCCAGGTTCCCTACAAGCCCCTAGGCGGCCCATCATCTTTCAACAAACCTGATACAACTTGGATTGCCTTGCATCAACAAAATATGACAAACTTTCATCATTCCCCGAGACTTTATTCACCCTAACATAAAGTATATGACTTCTTGGTAGGCCTTCATCCAAAGCTACCTGAGTGTTAGGTGCTTCCAAGTTCTTCCAGTCGCAATAAACAGAAAGGACGTCACCAGCTGACACAAGTCTGGGGGTCGTGAAGTGGTTTGTGAGAATGACATCATACATGTTCGTAATTTTTGTTACCGGTGATGTAACCATAGAAACACTGACTTCTTTTGCAAAGTAAGGTGGTGATTCCCTAAGCTCTGCTCTTTCTATAAATAACATGATTGAATTTACATCCTCAATAGGACGTTGAAGCAAATTACACATAAAGACAGGCGAGATGTATGCTATCCCATTGTGAAACAGTTCTTCATCATCTTTAATGGTGTGTGGATTTTTCCAGATGCATTCTGAGGAAGGGTGCTCTTCAATGGGAAAGACTTGTGCTAGCCTAATTTTTTGAACCTTAGACTTGCCATTGGTCTTAGGATTTCCATTTACCCGACATCGTACCCAGCTGCCACAGTTTAAGTCCATCTTAGATATGGTTGTCCTTGTAATCCAAATTTGGTTATCCGCATCAGCAACGCTATCAAAAACTGTCAAGTTTTTGCTCCAAAAAGGTGTTTCTAGTAAGGAAACCTTTAGAGTGGTTAGCACTTCCATTTTGTGACCTTCTACGAAACCTGCATCTGGTTCATCAAGGTATATAGTCTGTGGTATGACAAGATGGGTTTGTTTGGTACCAGGCATTTTCAGCAAAGGTAGGTGTGGCACATTGCTGCCACCCTGTATTGACTTGAGGCGTTTCAATTGCCACTTTTTGAGGTCATCTCTATGAATATCTGAGATCACTAACGAGGTCTCCTCAGTTATCAACCCTTGCATAACCGGGGTTGTATCGAGTACTATAAGCATTGACAACATGTCATATAACTCGCTCTGGACAAAAACCTCCCCAAGGTTGCCATTTTGTTTGATCATAATCAAACGATTATCAATAATATTGATCAGATAATTAGCCAAATTTTCTCTAGCCCATTTAAATGAGTCGTTACTTAAGGCTCCTATTGTTATACGTTTAAGAGGAATAGGGATAATTTTCCGTAATAAAACACACTTTTCGCTGATATCTTTATTCAGAGATAAGAAAGGGTAGTCTCTCAATTCACTAGTGAGATAAATAGTCATTGGTTCGGCTTCTTCAAATTTATATTTACCACGGCTAGACTGTGCCATTGTTTCGTTTTCCTTCAACGATTTGAGAACCCAAACATCAACGAAAGTTTCCTCGTGAAAGGCATCGACATGTTCGCAAGTCATAAGAGACAAAACGAAGTTGTTGCGGTCCCTAAATTCAGGGCATCGTTGCACTGATTCCTCAAATGTTAACGCCAAAGGCAAGCAGCCTCCACATTGCTTCTTTACCGAAGGTATAAGTTCAGCGATCGCTTGCAAGTTGTTCTTAATATATGCTTGAATGTAGGCCATTTTCAATTTCTTTTCCCTAATATTTTCACGCCATCTTGAATATTACATATAATTATGTCGGAAATTATCGGACTAAGGTCGGCTGAATTCCAAATTTCGTTACGCTTTGATATAAGAATTTTAGGGCCTACAAAAAGCTTTTCCAACAAAGAAACAACCAATTTAAATATTACACTTGTTTTATTTTTAAATATAATATTTTCAATATCCTATATCATGTTTGGTTGAGTACGTCAAATCCCGAATGTGTCCCGAACATCCATATTAGCTCCGAGGGGGCTTTCGCCTTTTGCTGATTCGGCATATTTTTTTGGAGCTGTCATCATTTTGTTTTAATTTTTTAGCGTGAGCATTTTACTTTTACAACTTTTATGATGTAGTACGATAGTAGTAGAGTTGTTCTAATTTAAAAAGAGGCTATTCTGAATCTGTAGATTTTTGCGAGTTTTGCAAAGATTTGAACCTTTCAATTTCATGGTGTGGCCGGTCGGTGAATGAAGAACAAAAAGCGTTTCCAGTGACTCGTGAGTAGGATATCTTGAGATTTTTGAAAATGGCATAAATTAGGTGTTTTAGTGATATCCAAAGGGTGGGAAAACATTATTCTAAAGGGGTAACTTGCACAAATTGGGGCTGGGGATAGGGGGTGCTTTATATAAATTTAAATGGAATCAGGGATTCTGGGGTGTAGGAACCGGGGGGGGGGGCAAGGTCCCCCAAGGTTTTCAGAAGACACACCCTTTACCTTCATGAAAAATGTTGTTCAGATTGCATTATTTATGATTGCATTTATCTTTCCTTCTCTCCCCTTCCAACATTTCTGAGAAAATTGATGCTTCCATGCCTCTGAATGGAATGGCCCATTGTGATCATAATTTTCAGAAGTCTGACATTTATTTAGAAAGTAAGTTAATTAACCAACCTATCAATATTTTATTTATTTCCAACCAAATACAAGACTACTGCATGTATTTAATAATTAACACTTATTGACTGGGATAGATCTTGAAATAGAGCCATTTCATTTTAAACATTATGTCTAATGTTTGACTTCTGGGATACTGGTTGTATTATAGGGTGCATTTTACCCAAGGCCAGATTTTGGTGGAAATAGTGGATAAAGTTTAGGGGAGGTGCAGCGGTCTAGCTCATGACCCCCATGGAAAGTTAGTGCTTTCAACAACGTGACATATGCATGTAGTGTACATATGTATCAGTGTACTAATGAATTATGAATGTACAACTCATCTAATTTTGCACTTCATTACAATTACTACAAAGTTTCTTTCAAAATGGGTACTTGACACAGAGATGAATGGCTATCACTGTTTCAATTTTACAGAAAAACTTTCTTACTAAGTGTAGACCCTAAGCAACCAAAAAATGTCAAATTTTCACTTTGATCTTATTGAAACTTTCCCAAGATGCACGCCTTTTCAGGGGAGGTGCAAAAATTCTCAGGAGAGGTGCAAAAAAATCTCATTCCAGAAACATATTCAAATTCAAATCCGGCCATGATTGCACCCTACTGTGTTATTTTAACCTGGCTAATGCAAGTCTTAGACAATTTTGCATGTGAAAGAGAGCACTAGGGCTCAAAGGGTTAATCAGACTATATCTGTCAATATAGTATGTCTTGTTAACCCATTAAGTTGCATTGCTCCATGATGCACATACTCTGCTATTTTATTGTGTCTAATGCCAGACGATTTTGCTTGTCAAGGAATTTTGTGGCCATTACATGATGATTATCCAGGCTATTCAAAGTTTTTTATCATTATCATAAATTACACCATAATTCAAATTGCCCATTTCAATGTTTATTAATTTACACTTTTGAGAAATGTAAAATTTTGGTTTCTTTAATTGTCATGCCATATAAATGCCTTGTTTCGTACCTGAATATTATTTATTACAGAAAAGACCTCATCTCGTAATTACTGTATAAATAAACATTGAAATGGCCAATTTGCATAGCAAGTTGGTCAGGCTATTCAAAAAAATTAATTACTATTTAAAACACCAAAATCAGATACAATTTTATTCATCAAAATATTAATAATTACAAGTGGTTAGTATTATACAATTAAATTTCTCATTCCAGAAACATATTCAAATTATTTACATATTAGTTTATTATAATAACATATTTACCAATTTCTCTGACTGTACATTGAATGAATTGCTAAAATGTATTTTCATTCGAGAACAAAACTACCCGTTTGTAAAAATCGTTTTAACAAGTGGAGATTGTTTTCAGGTTGATATGCAAGCAGGCATGTCGGCAGTTATATTTCAACAAAAGAATCTCATTATCTTTCATTGAATTTGACACTGACGATGACATGGCTCCTGATTTTTGTATTTCAATTCCTATGAGATTGGGTGCTGTCCACTTATTGAAATGTAGACAATATACTAGACATGTTTATCTTTCAATATAAACTCTTTTTTAAAAAAATATAATATATTAGTATCTAAACATTCTTTTTCTTTGCATTTCTTCAATATTTCTAAACTGGCTATTTAGTTAAATTTTTTCGAAACCTGTTGAAATAGTTTAAGAGCGTATGAACTTTTGGAAACCGATACTAGGTAGATTGTGAAAATCCACACTGCAATTTGTGGGCTTATTAGATTAACTTCACTGTAATGATATCTGATATGACTAGACTTACAGACTGAAAACTAATCATGCTGTTTCTTATTCCGAAGAAATTGCCGTTTGGAGAATTCAGTATACGAATGACAAGTTTTTGACCCTGAGATTGAGTAGTGTAGGCAGAATGACATATTAAATAAAGTTTAGAATGTAATAATCTCTCAAAATAGTCAAAAACTTGTCTTGTTTGATTCACATATTGAAATCTCACATGAGTCAAGACTTTGTTTTTTTGTAATGTGTTTTTTAAGATATTTGAAAATTCATGATAAACCTCATATAACAGTTGGACAGTAACGTCAGGGGCTGGTTGTATAAAATGCAGAAATGTATGAAAAGGTAGTTAAAGTTAACTACAGTTTATAGTGAGAAAGTTAACCAATCAAAACCGCATATATTAGAGTTAACTATACTATTTAACTACAAAATAGTGGTAAAACGTAGTTAGGAGTTTTATACAACCAGCCCCAGAATGACACCAGACAGTAATTCTGAAATCGGCCTGACAAGTTGCACAGTGTGTAAATTATAACCCTTAGGCTTAGAGCTAATAATGGACTTTTCCCAAGATAGCTTCACAATCTCATCCCAGGCCACTTTTGCACGGTTTTGGTCACATATGTACATTTTCTGAATTGTGCTGTTATTTGACTAATATTTTTCAAAATAAATTTATATCATATATATATATATATATATATATATATATATATATATATATATATATATATATATATATATATATATATATATATATATATATATATAAATAAATATATAACAAATCTTTCTATACAAAATTTTCTTTTCATGTTTGTAATCTTTTTAAAAATTTATTTTTTGCAAAAATATCTCAATTTTCTTCAATGACAACGTCTAATCAAGCCCGCTCCGGGCAATAAAACAATCCACATGCATAGCACGAAGTCACATATAGCACGAAGTCTATACCTTTTTTCAGAAAGCGGTATCAATTTCCCGTGCGTAATACAAAATGAGTGAAAAACGGCAAACTTCGCAGGGTTATATTATCCGCATTTTACAACATTTCGCAACGAAACTTCGGAATATTACTAATTTTGTGACGCTCTTTCAAGCTGTGGTGAAATGTTTGTCTAGACCGGTTGAGATCAAAATTTTGGTTGTTAGGCAATAGGTTCATTTGTCTGATTCGGAAATGTACTTACCAAAACCGCGTGAGAAAAGGCCTGGAACGAGGTTGTTGAAGCTATCTTAGGAAACGTTTTATATTAATAACCTGCACCAATCGGAAATATTTACTTGATAATATAATCCAAATCATAACTTGAGAAGCAGCTACCTTTACAACGGACACTCCCAAATATGAATAATACATTCCATTTGCCTGGGACCGTTACGATTCTTTTTTACTGGTTTAAATAATCCATACGCAGAAATCCCTGCACATTCACAAGTGTACCGTAATATCCCATTGACTTCCTTAGTTAATAAATAAGCAGCACCGGATCCTTTTTCGTGTGACGTGGAACATGTTGCTGCCATTACTTTCATACCCTTAAGAAAGAGTAAAATGTCTCAGGTTTTGGTAACCTGTGTTACAGACCTTACAATTATCATTTGTTTTAAGAAGTAAAACTGTAAATCACTAAATTGATACTGTTCTACATCTTTGTCACCTATATCCTAATAGCAGCCATGGAAAAATAAAATTTAACGGGAATTGTTGCAAACTAAGGCAGCGTGTAAGTTTATTTATTTATTTATCCTTAATTCTTAAATTAAGCTCCAAGTGACCATCGGGAATAGGCTACATCTTATATCCTAGGCCGTCGCAACTTTACTGCAACTGAACTGAATTCTCTCCACCCCAAAACAAAATCAGATTGAGAAAACGTATTGTCGATTTTGGGTCACTTTTTAAAGTGCGCTTCCCAAGTACAGGAAGTGAAAAAAACAGTACTATATATTGCTTATATGTACTATTTACTTCGCTAAATCTCTTTGCTTGTTACCATCCTTTGTCAATTGGCTTCTATCAAATCATTTTTAAAGTAGAAATATATCGATAGTGTACCTGGGGTTCATTATATACGACATTTGCCCGAGTGTTTAGTTCCATACCGATCTTCAATACCGTGGATAAACTGTTTCTGGTTTTGTGTGTACATCTGGATACATTTCCCATACCAGGGATACCTTGAGGTCCTTGTATACCTTGTATCCCTTTCGGTCCTTGATCACCTATTGGACCCTTTGGGCCTATGGGTCCCTGCACACCCTGGCGACCCTGTAACAACTGTAATGTAAGAAAGGATATTTGGATTTAGACATAATAATAATAATAATAATAATAATAATAATAATAATAATAATAATAATAATAATAATAAACACTTTATTTAAACAGGGTGACTAGAGTTACACGAAGTAATTTTCATCTAGGCCCACATTGCGTGGGCGAAGTAAAGTGCAGGTTGTGTGTGAAGCCCTGGTCAAACGAGAATGAGAGTTGGCAAGAGTTGAGAAACGAGAGTTGGCATGAGAGCTATCTCAACTCTCATGCCCCGGTCAAACGAGAACAACAGTTGCATGAAAGTTTGTGAGTGTTGACTGCATATATTACCGAGCGATAGCAAAAACTCTTATCAACTCTCATTAAAATTTGAACCAGTTCAAAGTTAATAAGAGCTGATAAAAGTGCATAAGAGTCGATGAGACTTGACAGTTAAACGCGAGTGAGAGTTGCAACTCTTATCAATTCTTATCAACTCTCATCCTCGTTTATCCGGCCGTCGTACAACCCTAAAAACTAGAACAATCGTAAATAGGCATGTTAGCTTTCCAAAGTTCTCAATTTGGTAGCAACGCTGTAAACAACGTTAGCCAAATTTTTTACTCCCAACTCCCAATTTCGCCTGCATAGCTTGTGAGTGGTCTGGTCTTACTTCCAGACCAGTAGTGTTTTTCGAAGCACTTTTCTCTGGAGCGAAACACAAATGAAACCGGTACCGTTTCGTTGTCTTGATACAACGTGGTAATTAACGCACAAAGTTCGCTCAACTATCGCTTTGAATTTATCTTTAAATACAAGTCCGTTTGAGAAGTGATATATAACAAACTCGAAAGCTATTTCTTGCTGGCGTATAAAACACCTCAAAGTATGTAAAAAAAACTTGGCTAGCGCCTCGTTTTTCAACACACTTTTCCGTATTTTATACGCCGGTTTCTTTTGGTCGTTTACTCTGTATAACTTCTCACATGCAACGAAGGGAAATTAAAACTTATTAGACGACTCGTACGGTTTATTGCAGCAAATGCACATGCAAAACCATTAACATGCACTGTTCCTCACTTAATTGTCTCAAAATAGCAAGCCAACATTAGACTGATCTTATAGCGAACATTATTTCATTCATATATACACGAATACTTCAAGGTCTTCGATAAAATAGAGATGCAATTTTGCGACGTATTGTTATATAATTTACAAATGATACGTGCAGTACAAAGATACTTTAATAAATTTGTACTGTGCGATGTCAAAGGCGGAATGTATGGGCGGAATGACAGCAATTCAATTGCACGCAGCAGGAGTAAGCAGCTCGATGCGCCACGTTTACATATACTACACATTCATTTGACTATGTTTATTCTTTGTTTTCAACGTTGTTAGGCATTTGAGGAACGCTTTGGTATACTTCGACGTGGAAAATAATGTATAAGCCTCTTCCCTCTTTCAAAGACAGATAAGTTGTATATCGCAAATGTTACAGCGCATAAACCATGCAGCCTTAAATAGGGTTAAGAGGAAGTCTAACATTTGAAGCATATAGAAGAATGCAGTCATATTTAGGTGTATGCGTGGTCTGTTTTTGGTTTGAAAAGTGTCTATATTGTAGGCTTACATTGGCTTATAAATACTGTGAAACCAGTAGGGCTAAGAGGAAGTCTAACAGTTGAAGCATAGAAGAATGCAGTCATATGTAGGTGTATGTGTGGTCTGTTTTGGTTTGAAAAGTGTCTATCTTGTAGGCTTATATTGCCTTAATGAAACCAGTAGCGCTGAGAGGAAGTCTAACATTTGAAGCATAGAAGAATGCATGCAGTTATGTAGATGTATGTGTGGTCTGTTTTTGGTTTGAAAAGTGTCTATATTGTAGGCTTAGATAAAGATAACAATAACATAATTATTTGAATGCATTGAATACATTAGGTTTACAAAGACAATATAAACTAAGGATTATAATCACAATTGATCAAAATTTGTTAAAAAATGCAGCTCTTATACGTGCTGAAACTATTAAAGTAAATGTTAAAAATAACCATAATATATAACACTTACAGATAAGCAGGTATTTTATTCTTATGCTAAACTCCAATTGTTAATCTTGTCTGCTTTACTGCATCAAGCAGTCAAAACAACATTCCTTTATATTGTGTAAGTTTAATAGTTTCTTTCTTGCGTAACCGTATAACTCAAAGTTTTTATAAACAAGTGAAACCTATTTACACTATTCTTTTTTCTATAGTTCAAAAGGTAAAAATGGGGTTTCATTGTTAAAAGTCAGCAAAAAGTTAAGAAAACGGGGGCCATGGCTAGACTTTCCCGCCAAAACTTAATAGCCGCAGAAGCAACCAATTACATGCATCATCAAATTCTGTGAATGGCTAAAATACGTTAATTATGTTTACACTCTTTTAACCATTTTAAAAGTGTTTCTGGCATTTTCTAATTCTTATGATTCAGTTTCGTTTTACGTAAGCATATACTATTAGACATACTATTTAAGTATTTTATAATGTTTAAATTGACTTCTGTACGTCAGCATGCTCATTAGCACTGTTATTACCTATTTCCTTTAATAAAGGCGGGTTTACGCTGAAAGCATTATCACGGTGGTAGCCGACAGTTGTCAAGTGAAAAATAATGTTAATTCTTCTCATAATTTGTAGTAGTTTTGCATATATTAGGACGCAAATAAATGGAATAGCTACTTGCTGAAACCAGAGGTGCTGAAACCGTGTACCTATTTGTTTTTAGTAATGACCAATTGCCCATATGGACTCATATAGCCATATAGGGTTTGTCAAAATAAGGTGGTTCGGTTAGATAAGAAATATTATTTCAATTTTCGATGGGTATGTTTAATAGTGCAACAGGTTGTTGCGATTTAAGGTGCGATTTTCTTCTGATGGATGTGAACGAGTGGAATCCAGTGGATGAGTTTATAGTTGAGGTTACATGCATGTATACTCAAAACATTAATATTTCATCCAGTCGTTCAGATGCACCAGAAGAAGAAATTCGCAAACAAGCCCTTACAGCAACACAGCTAGGCACAATTTGCATGCTAGTTACTTCCTCGTAACTTATTGTGTTATTGTTTTGAGAAAACCCACCTTAGGTTTAAACGTTGCACTTTTGTTTACTTTTTCCATTTCTTGTCTCTGCTGTTCCTGTGAGAATTGGTACAATCGATTTAGTTTGGTTAGTGAATGTCTTTAATCAGAAGATTTAATCATGATGAATGTGTTTATGCGTAATGTTTTCAATTCCTGCATCGTTTCGTTAACGTCGTCTGATATTATAAATTTTACATTTAACTTTTCTAACTTTTAAAACTGCTTATTATTATAACGATGTTTTCGAGGATATATAACTTTACAATGAACGGTTACAAAACTGCAAATTTATTATTATAGTATATAATGTGGATCATGCAATTAGAGGTCTCCCATCAAAGATGCAGGATTCTCTCTTTCTGCACACGAAATGCACTCTACAATATGTCAGTATTGGATTCATGCATATAGAATTCGAAATTAGTTTAAGTTGATGGCATTTCTGCACTGTAAAAACAGAGTGGTTAAAAAGCCCCAAAAATGGTTATGTTGGATCGAAATTAATCTGAGATAACCAATTCCTTGGTTGTTTTAACCATTTTGTAATTTTATAGTGTAAAAAGCATTTCTACAATATTTCGTGACTTGGCAAATGGAAGGAAATCCTGCACTCTTGTTTTCAAGTGACCCACGCAGTCTCCGCTTTACTTTACAGAATTGATGTTATGCCCCATTGAATGTCCACTTTAGTCTTTACAGAAATAACGCTGTTTACTCGTCGTATATTTGTTATGAAAATATTGAACAGTATGCAAAGAAGTCTCAGTTTCTCTATATATAGTCCTAGCACTTTTGAAAGATGATGCATGCCCTTGACTCAAGTCTATCCTTGCATACCGAAATACCTAATTTTATATAGTAACAGGATATATAATACCATTACATTATATTAAGTTCCATTTGTGGTAGTCGCTATTTTGTTATTAATATAGTTTGCATGCAGAGCAGCATGTAAAACCAATAAATATACATATAGGGAAAAAAAAACTCTACGTCTTTCGTCAAAGATGTATATATGATAAATCAATTTTTTAGAACTTGGTTTGTTCATATAATTTGAATGAAACTTTGTACTTTTGAAAAGAAATCGCAAGTTGAATTTAAGTCAGGAAAAATTGAAGTGGTTAGAGTAAGCTATGAATGTAGTTGTACCTTACACAGAAATTTAGATATATAGGTTTTAACATGTGGTAGATAAAAAGTTATAGAAAATATAGGTTATATAGCTAAAAAGTTATATAGATCAATGTTTTAAATACTTCAAATTTCATGATTTGTTATATAATTGGAATGAAAAACACTTTGTACTTTAATAATATAAAGAGAATCGAAAGTTGGATCTAAGCCAGAATAGACTGAAGTGCCAAGTGGTTATAGACTCGATAATTGATGTAAACTACAACTTCAATTTCTATGGTCATATATTTGATCATGTTTTTGACTGTTAAAGATACCGTTTTCTTCCTGCAAGCTGTATCCCTTCTCACATGCTCATAGATATACCCCCTTCCAGTGCTTCCACGTTCATAAATATACGCCCCTCCTCACAAGATCAATGGATAAATATAACCTTACACACCAATGCATATATATGAACTTCCAATTGCCTACAGTTCATATACGCTATAAATCGTTCCAAAAACACTTCATATTCGTATCACTTCGTATTTTATATTAACTGTTTTCCTTCATAAGTATATTATTTTATTTTTATGGTAAACCAATTGATTTAGCTTGTACTATATACCCTACTCTTGAAAAAATGCAAAAGAGATTCTCTCACAC